AATTAAAGGATTTGTATAGGTTCTTTGGCTTATTTGTAGAGTTAAACTATGTCAGATAGTCAGTTATATTAGACTGAACATAGACTGAAAATAATGTACTTGAGTTGTTCCAGAATGCAGTTGGAGTTGTGCAGTAGATCAGAGAGCTCCTTCACTCCTGTGTTTCCAACTGTATTGTCACTCAGGTCCAGATCCTTGAGGTGTGAGGGGTTTGCTCTCAGAGCTGATACAACAGCAGCACAATCTGCCTCAGTTAGACCACACTTACACAACCTGCAGAGAGGGGGGAGAGAGACTGGACAGATTAGAGAAAGCAAGAGAAATTTGCAAAGTTTACAGCAACGCTGCAATCAGCATTTCTGCTCTCAAGAAGCTGTTCACTGTTTGAAAAGGTGAATTGGAGCTCGATGATAAACCAAGAAGTGTTAGGCCAAAAGAAGACAGAAGATGAGGAGCTGCAGAAACTGTTGGAGGAAGATGCGACACAATGGACCGGAGAATCTAATGACGATTACTCTGAAGACTCACTCTGTGTATTATTTTAGAAAATCACGAATAAATGTTCTTCAAAATCACTGCAAACCTATGCACCACCCTATTATAATCTGTAGAATTATAATATATTATTATAATCTGTTGATTATCTGGTAGTTTGTGACCAGTGTTTAACATTTCCAGAAGTTTTTTTATTACTTTTAGTAATAATTATAGTTTCACTTAATCCAGCTTGTGGTTGTAGGTAAAACAGAAAAAATAAAATATTTTTTTTCTGTAATAATAATAATAATTATTACATTTATTAAGAATAAACAGTAACACTATAGATATTGTATATTGCCAGAATGCATTCATAAAGTCTTCTTAAAGACCTCTGCTCTTTCTGATATTATTGATTTTATTGTAATGAATAACATTACCCCAGTTTCAGCAGTTTGACTTGTTGATTGTTCAGCAGAGCACAGAGATCCTTCATTCCTGATGATCCCAGTGTATTCCCACTCAGCTCCAGCTCTCTCAGGTGTGAGGGGTTGGAACTCAGAGCTGATGCCAGAGCAGAACAACCTTCACTTCCCATGCAGCACTTATTTATCCTGAATACAGAGAGAGAGAACAAGTAAGAGAAGCCTTTTGTTTAAACATTGTCATGTTGTGTTTAATGTAAAATATAGGTTTAAAAATGGAAAATATTCATTAATTAGGTTATATGCAGTTAAACATTAAACACAGATATTACATTCTGTAAGGAATTCACTTTACTGTTTTAATTTAAATGTAAGTGAATAACTGAGAAACACTAACCTGAGTATCTCGGGTCTGCAGTGTGAATCCTCCAGTAGAGCAGAGAGCTGCTTCACCTCTGAGTCTCCCTTTATTTTCCCACTCAGATCCAGTTCTCTCTGCAGTAAGGGGTTCTTTGTCAGGATTCTACCAAGGAAATCAAAGGCTTTTTCTGCAGCAGGACTTTTCAACAACCTGCAGAGAAAGAAAATATATTAGACATGGTAAACACTCAAATTTTAAATCAGGATATGCATGATCAGGAAACTGGAAACTTTGGTATANATTTTATGTGGTGGAATTTCCTGAGCAGGAAGAAGTAGCAGTGGTGAGCAAAAACTGGATGAAGGGGGAGAAGAAGTGTCTGTGGCCACCATTTGTTTCGCCAGACAAAATAAGAAAAGCTGTAATCCGTCATGCAAAACCTGACATTTCCTGGCAGTGTTATACAGTTGAAATTGCCTATTCGACAGGTAAGTTTTTGTGTGTCAGTGAATTAACCACCTGTGTTCAGCCAAATGGCTATTTCAATATTAGTTTAAATACTCATGGCCATAAGAGGAAATTAGCCGGAGAACATTTAAAAATGAATTTGAGAAAGCACTTCTTAACACAGCGTGCAGTTAGAGTATGGAATAGTCTTCCTGTTAGTGTAGTGCAAGCTAAAACCCTGGGTTCCTTTAAATCAGAGCTAGATAAGATTTTAACAACTCTGAGCTTTTAGTTAAGTTCTCCCCAAACGAGCTTGATGGGTCGAATGGCCTCCTCTCGTTTGTAAATTTCTTATGTTATTTGTTCAAGCTAATTTGTTAGTATACAGTACTGTTACATTTAGGCACATTGCCCACTCAGCTCCAAAGATATTGTCTGATTATTAAAAAGTTTTTGTATTTCATTCACTGATTGTATTTGTTTTTCTCTACAAAATTTTTATGTTGAAAAGCCAGGAAAAAAGCCAAGGCAATTGCAGAGGACACTTCATTTTTCAGTGATCCAGAAAGACAGCTTGAAAGGGGACATTGTTGTAGAAGGTACAATAATTTTCCTACCCCATTTCATTGCAATTGTCACACCCACAGGGGCGGGGCAGCACAGCGGATAACAATCATCCTCTTTAACCAGTCCCCTACTTAAAGCTCGAATGCGCTAACAGCATTTGTGAAGTATTATTGCCATGTACCGGACCATTACTGAGCATTTACCTGTCTCGTGTCTCCTCTCCCTTCCTTGCCTGTGTCTTCGTGCCCTGCCATCTCGCCTGCCCTGCATCCCTGCCTGTTCCTGCTCGCCCTGCCCTGCATCCCTGCCTGTTCCTGCTCGCCCTGCCCTGCATCCCTGTTCCTGTTTACCTCGCCTGCTCTGTCTGCCACCTCAACCCTGCCTGCCTGCTCCGCCTGCCCTGCCCGGTCCATCCCCTCGACTCCTTGTCCTGTCCCTCTTTGTAGGACTGATCTCCCCGGCTTTGACCCTTCAGCACCCGACCCGACTATTCTCCCGGATTTCCCCCTTGGCATTGTTTGTTATCGGCTATGTCAGTCTCATTAAATCAGTCTCCTGCATTTCGGGGTCTGCCTCCTTCCTGGATCAGTGTTCTAACAGCAATGAATTAAGCGCAGATTTCAAGCTTAGAATTTCTGCATTATAGAATCAAAATTTATACTTTCTGTGGTTTTAGCATCTGTGTTTTTTGTGTATGTTGTCTAAAGATTGTAATTTTCTATTATGGCTGTGTGATATGTCCAAACTCTCATGTAACATTTTAGGTCATTTCATATCTTGTTGATACATATCATGATATTGCACATTTTCTGTAGGTTCAAAGCATAATTTATGTAAAATGATCACATGGATAGACATGTCTTGATAAGTTTTGTCTAGTGCGTCATTAAAATGTATCAAATAGCTTAAATGCATTACCACAAACTGTGATTTGAAACACAATGTAATAAATGACAGAATATTTTGTAAAACAATTAGCATTTTTCTGTTGTCACATAATATACATCTTCATTTTGCACAGCCCTATTTATAATTATATTATACTGTACACATTTTTTTCAATAGACCAAACAAGAGATTGGAGGAGCTGGGCCATGGCTGTGCTAGTGTCGCTGTAAAAAAAGATGCGATTCATTAGAGAAAATGACTGGGGTAACAGTCCCCAGCAGTCTAATCCCTGTACGCTTTACAGAATGTCAGTCTGTCCCTGATGTTTTTCTTGGAGAGAAGTGGATTCTTTGCTGCCCTTCTTTGGAGGCCATCCTCCAAAAGTCTCCATCTCTGATGGTATCTGCAGCTGAATCAACTTTAGGAGATGGGCGCCCTGAAGCCTTCTTCACAACAATTGAACCTCTCTTCTTGAATGATCTGAAAAACGGTTGATTTAGGTGCAATCTTACTAGCAGCAATATCCTTGCCTGTGAAGCCCTTTTTGTGCAAAGGTGACTCAATGATGACTGCACGTGTTTCCTTTCAGGTAACCATGGTTAACAGATAATGAACAATGATTTCAAGCACCACCCTCCTTTTAAAGCATCCAGTCTGCTGTTCTGACTCAATCAGCATGACAGAATGTTCTCCAGCCTTGTCCTCGTCAACCCTGTCACCTGTGTAACCGAGAAAATCACTTAAATGAGGTCAGCAGGGCTGAAATGCAGTGGGAATGTTTTCTTGAGATTAAGTTCATTTTCCTGGTAAAGAGGGACTTCATCTGATCACTCTTCATGACATTCTGGAGTATTTGCAAAATGCCATCATGAAAACTGAGGCAGCAGACTTTGTGAAAATTAATATTTGTGTCATTCTCAAAACTTTTGGCCACAGCTGTAGTCAGTACAACTGAATGTGGGCACTCCCTCTAGTGGTGCTCTTTAGCTAGGACACCACAATCATGGCTATATTATTGTTGCAGTCACCATATTGAAAATATCTGAGCCTGTTTACGAAAACGTGCGGTGATAAGCTTCACTCAGGCCCACCCAGATTTAATCCAAGCCCACCCATCAGCCACTTAAAATAATTATTATTATTTAATTACCCTCCAGAAAATTAACAAATTGAACTCTTGTCTCCAAACAAGCATTAAACAATAAATACAAATAGACCTAAACTACACCTTAGCTACGTCAATAACTTCTAAATTGCTAAAACCAAAGAAGGAACATTAAGGTCTTGAGGTGATGGACTTTAATATCTTGAATAAATCTTTTAAAATGAAGTGGATTTCAGAATTTGTAAAGAATCTTAACAATATATCCTAACACTTTTCCGAACTACTTAATTAGTTCTATTTGTGGCATAGATTTTTTTTTTTGGAAAGGTGCAATTTTTCTGTTGACAAAATCCCATTTCGGGTTGGCTAACTTTCACAAACAATCCCTGTTAGCTTGGATGCAGGTTTATAAGCATAGTTTCAGTCCTCACAGATACTTTGTCCACTACGTGGACAAGAGATTCCAAGTTCATTCTTTTTTCATAGTCAGTTGGAGTAGGGTAAAATTAAGAAATAAACATGTGATGCCATTAGAAGTGACTAAACAACAATTAGCATCCACTTTTACATGACTGATAATTTACGGTAACCAGGATGTTATCTAATTATTTTTTAGAAACATTCATACTAAATACACATTCATATCAAACATTTTCAGATAATGCTTTTATGGTCCTCAGGAAAGATTAGAACAATACATTAACATCAGTGACAACACTATGACACTAAATAACACACATAACTGTATAGTGTGTATATGACAAATATTTTAAGATTATCTTAAGGTAGTGCAATAAAAATAAAGACAACAATATTTTTTAATTGTTCTAGAAGGCAGGACTGATAACATTTGCTGCCTAGCTCCCACTTTAACATTATTGATGTATTATTAGCCATAGCCGTTAGCTGCTACTTGAACTTAACAGATGGCTAATGCGGCTATCGGCTAATTGGTAATAGTTAAACAGCTAATGTTAATGTGTGTACGGTCAGATTAACCATCTGTCTGGTTTTAGGCCGTGATAGTCCGATTTTGACTGTATTTTGACTAACAGCATGTCTGTCTTTTGAGCTCAGTGTTGTGAATGCTAACTAGCGTTCATGTGTTCTGCTGCTAGTGAGGGGGGGGCTGTGTGCGTGGCTGTCTGCAGCGGTGCTGTGTGAAGCTGTGCATAAACTGTAGGACGTGACACTGTGCACTGTTGTTATCGATACTGTTGCAAATGAGTATCTTATCTGATTTTTAATATCTGAGTATCATTTCTGACAACTATAATTCCTATCATACAATATTCAATACACTTGCACTATACAATTAACCTCTGAAGGAATTCCTCATCTGTACAGCTAGAGTTCCTACTTTCCTTTTGTTCAGGTTTGGTCTCATTTATATCAGGGAATTGCAGTTTATTTTTCTATTAGAAGGATTAGAACAGTGGTTCCAAAACTTTGTAGGTCAGACACCCCTTCTACATCCTGACCAAGTTGACACGCCCCATCCCCCCTCCCAAAAGAAAAGACACAACATAGCACATTTACAGCTGTGCTCTTTAAGTTTACTGTTTTAATGGATA